AGCACACATGTACATATAGAGAGAGCACACATGCACATAGAGCACACATGTACATAGAATACACATGTATACATAGAGCACACATATACTTAGAGAGAGTACACACATGTATATAGAGAGCACACATACAAATAGAGAGCACACATGTACATAGAGAGAGATCTCACATGTACATAGAGAGCACACATGCACACAGAGTACACATGTACATAGAGAGTACACATGTATACACAGAGCGCACATGTATTTAGAGATCATACATGTACATAGAGAGTACACATGTACATAGAGCACACATGCACATAGAGTATACATGTACATAGAGTACACATGTACACAGAGTACACATGTATAAACCACACATGTACATAGAGAGAGAGAGGACACACACAGAGAGCACACATGTACATAGAGAGAACACACATGCACATATATAGAGAGAGCACACATATACATATAGAGCACACATATGAAGTAAAGGAGTTAGCTGGACATGATGAGAGAAAGAGAGAGCTGCTACATTAGAAAAGGATGTGAAGAGAAGAAGGGGTCCCCTGGACATGACGGTGCGTTCCTGTAACTACATTATTTGGTAGTAGAGGCAGTTGGGTCAGTACCCAAGGCTGCCCTCTGCTACGCAGTAAGCTCAAGGCCAGCCAGTCTTGATTTTAGAATCCCTTAGGGCCTAGGAGGTGGTGAGGCTCATCTTCCAGTGTATCTGTGAGGCATTTCCAGAAAGAATCCACTGAGGAGGAAAGACTCGCCCCTCTGTGGTGGCTTCACCACAAGTGGGATTGCCCACAGAGCACCCTGAGTTCCTCTCTGCCTGCTTTCTGGCTCATCACAATGGGAGCTCCATTATTCTGCCACCCTTCCTGGCTGTGATGGACAGAACCTTCTAGAACCATGAACAAAAAAAGGCCATATATTTTTTTCCTGTCAGGTATTTTGGTCACGATCTCAGAAAGTAACCAACTAGAACAATCTCTGGGACAAGAGACACAAAATCTCAAGGAACATCTGCCTTATGTCTACAGCCAGCTTCTGACCCAAGACAGACTTGGTGAAACCTGCATGGTTTTTCCAGTTAGAAAGACTCAAGAAAGTTCAGCTTTTTTCTCCTCTCCCCTCCTCTCCCCTCCTCTCCCCTTCTCTCCCCTCCTCTCCCCTCCTCTCCCTTCCTTTCCTCTCTCTTTCCCTCCCCTCCTTTCCCTTTCCCTCCTCTCCCCTCCCCTCCCTTCTCTCCTCTCTGTTTTAAGACAGGGTCTCATGTAACTGTTCACAGATTCACTGTGTAGCTAAGGCTAGCCTTGAACTCCTGATCTTCCTGCCTCCACCTCCTCAGATCTGGAATTACAGGACTGCATCACTATTGCCACTTTACACAGTGCTGGAGATGGAACCCCGGGCTGCATGTGTGGCAGGCAATCATTCTGCTCGCCCTGCCTGTTTCTCATCCCTATGGTTTTCCCTTGTCCAGAAGGTTGAATGAAGTATAATTCACGTGAGACTCATCTGGGTCACAGCATCAATCATTAGTCTGTGTAGTGAGTGGTGTTGGAACATTGTATATCAGATTGTGTATGTTTACTCAAGGGATAAAGGACGTTTGTATTGTTTCTAGCTTTTAGCAACTATGTATAAAACTGGTAGAAGCTCAAATGAAGGTCTGGGGATGAGTAAGCATGAGTGCTGGTCTGCTGTTATAAGCACATGTTATTTCTAAACCTTTATAATTTCACAGTGGCTGTGTCTCCCTTTGTGTGTATATGCACATAGCAGAGCTACTCCTCGCCTCCACATGAAAGTTTCTGCGTTCTTGTGACATTTCTGGTTCCTTTTCAGTAATACGAGTTTATCTGATCAGTGATTAAACTGGCCAGAGCCAAAATAATTGATACTGAATTTCATTTCATGCTCAAGGGGTCCCCCTCTCTTCTGGCCTTGGTCTGCAGTCAGGGGAGGAAATGGACAGTTTGTGTTCTGTCATGGCCCAGGGCTTCTGTTCCTAAGTCTTCCAGATCCCCATCATGGTCCGTGATTCCTTGTAAGGGAGTTAGAGAGCACTGGGAAGGACTGGGCACAAAGGAAACATTCAAACTGAATGTTGAAAAAAATCAGCATTACCTTTTAGATGAAGTAGTATGGGTTTTTGTTTGTTTGTTCTTTTAAAAGTCTTATGTGGGCTGGAGAGATGTCTCAGGAGTGAAGGACATGTACTTACAGAGGATCCAAGTTCAGTTCCAAATTCCCATGTTAGATAGGTCACAACCACCTGTAAGTCTAGCACCAGTGGACAGCGCCCTCTTCTGGCCTCCATGGGCATTCACACCCACCTGCACATAACCATACAGACACATACATATAAATAAAAGATTATAGAAGTGCCTTTTGGCCTTGTGGTGGGGTGCTTGTGTCTAGAATACTCAAGGCCTTGAGTTAGATCCCCAGGACCACAGGAAGAGAAAATGCTTGATATGGGTGTAAAGGTTGTGGTGGTTTGAATGATAAATGTCCCCGAAAAACTAGGGGTAAAGGGAAAAAAATCACACCATGCAATAGACCTCATGTAAGAGATATGGGAGGGGAGATGTGAAAGATGGCCTCCGAGTGAGGATGAGAGAGAGAGAGAGAGAGAGAGAGAGAGAGAGAGAGAGAGAGAGAGACAGTGAGGAGTGAGGAGTGAGGAAAGGGACCGGAAGAAGAAAAGAGTAGTAGGCTGGCTGTGATGGTGTGAGCTTTATGGGGTCATGGAGCATGCACATAGGAAAATCCTCTACACAGTGATGATGGAGAAGTATCAACGTTTGTCTTTAGAGATGATGACTGAAGGCGGGGTGGGAGATGGAGGAGCACCTGGTTCTGGATGTGGGAGGTTCTTAGTTGACTGACATTTGAACATTAGAACAGTCGGTGGTGCTTTGGGGACAGGTTTAGGAGGTACAGCCATGCTGGAGGAAGTGTTTCAGTGGGGTGGGCTTAGAGGGCTTACAGCCTCACCTAACTTCCAGCCGTGGCTATCTGCTCCACGCTTGTAGTAAAAGATGTGATCACTCTGCTTCCTGCTCCTGAACACTGCTGCCTCCTGCTGCCAAGTCTCTGCCTTGATGGTCTCTTAGCCCTCTGGAACCACAAACCCTTTTATAAGTAAACTCTAACTTTAAAAAAAAAAAAAAAGTGCCTCAGAGCCGGGCAGTGGTGGTGCCGGCCTTTAGTCCCAGCACTTGAGAGGCAGATGGATCTCTGAGTTCAGGGTCAGCCTGGTCTACAGAGTGAGTTCCAAGACAACCAGAGCTACATAAAGAAACTCTGTTTCAAAAAACAATGTATCTGTTTTTGGTTTTTATCCATAGTGTTTTTTAAAAATCACGGATACATTAAAGTAATTAGTTCAGAGGGAGCTGGGACTGGAGAGGTACCTGCTGTGAAGAGCCTGATCTTGTTTGTTTTGTTTTTTGTTGTTTTTGTTCTGAGAAATGTGTAAAACTTTGGAAATTTGAACCAAAAAGCAACTGAACACTTTAAACACTTAAAGCTTAAAGGGCCTTTCTGATAGGACCTTGGAAGACAGTAGCAATGAGAGCCACGTGAACTATGGAGGCCCAGCTTAAGGGAATTCAGAGGGCTACTGGGAAAGAGGCCATTCTCCTGCATTTTGACAAAGAACCTAGGAGCCTTCGGCCCTTGGCCTGAGAACTGGCCTGAGGTTAAATTAAAAAGCAGCGGGCTGGGCAAGTGGCAGCTCATGCCTTTAATCCCAGTTGAACTTGACCATGTTGCCCATGTGTGCTGGCTTTAGAAGCATAAAGACAGACAAGGGAAGGGGTCATGTACAAGTTACTAACACGTATTCTTCTTCATTAGTTTTTGTTTATTTTGAGACAGGTCTCCAAACACCTCAAAACCCTAACAGTAATCATAGTTGCTTTAACTCTGTGTCTGAGCTGGGTCTGGTATCACGCACAAGCATTCAGGCTCAGAGGGTCACAAGCTCCAAGACCACACACAATGAGACCCAGCAGTTGGGGAGAAAGGAGAGGAGGGGAAGGAAAGGAGGAGAGGGGAGGGAAGGGGATGGAGAAGAAGAGGGGAGGCATGGAAGAAAGGAGAGGGGGGCCAGCATTACGGTGGCACATACCTATGATGCTACCCTTTAGGTCAATGGTTCTCAACCTTCCTAACGCTGTGACCTTTTAGTATAGTACCTACCACGTGTTGTGCTGACCCCCAACCATAAAATTAGTTCATTGCTATTTCAGAATTTTGCTGCTGTTATGAATTGAAACATAAATATCTGGTATGTGACGCCTGTGAAAATATCATTCTACCCCCTAAAAGGGTCAGAACCCACAGGCTGAGAAACACTGCATTAGTAGCCGAAGTTGTCCGTGGCACTGTGGTGGCGAGGCGAGCAATGAGAGACGGCGCTCTGCGGTCCTGTAATTTGTCTCTTTGTTCAGCCTGCGCCCCAACTGCGAGCTCCACCGTTTCCCCAGCTCAGGAGAGCCACGGTTTGATCCGACCTCTCTCAGGCAGGCCATGCCTTGGTAGAACAGCTCTTCTGATGGCAGGCCTGTTAAGACCAGTGTTCTGAAGTGTTTTAAATGGTTGCTTTTACCCTTGCCAGAGCCTGGAGACAGAAGGAAGCTTCCTGTGGGCCCTGCAGCTTCTGTCTCTCAATCACTGGGAGCCTCCGGCAGTTCCACAGTTACACTGGGTTCTTTCCCCCTCGAAGCCCCAGTGCCCACTGGGAATGCTGTCCCTGGGTTTTTGCTCTGTTAAGTTGTGACTTTTGGTATCTGCCTTTCCATCTCTCCTGTGACCGCCTCAATTCTCTGTCAGATCGTTATCGGTATTTTTAGTGTTTCAGGTTTTTACTTGTTAGAAGGGAGTGGTCACTTTTATTTGTGTGTGTTGTGTGTGTGTGTGTGTGTAATTTTAAAGCAGGCTTGGAGCGATCTTACTTCTCTTTTGTTTTCTCATTTCATTTTACCTGCATGTACGTCTGGATGAGTGTGGTGTCAGATCTTGGAGTTACAGGTAGTAGTGAGCTGCCACATGGGTGCTGGGATTTGAACCTGGCTCCTCTGGAAGAGCAATCAGTGCCCTTAACCACTGAGCCATCTTTCCTCCCCAAACAATCACTTCTTATGCTTGCACACACAGACAGACATGCACACATACTTTTCAGCTGCTAAACAGGCTCATAAAAGGCACATTTTAATGAAAAAAAAAAGCCATATTTATCAAGTCAGAACTATTCAGTCTCCATTGAGATTGCTGACTGAGCCACATGTTGCCACACTAGGATGCTGGTGGAAACTCTCAGTTAGCAGTGTTGTGCCTCAAATACACCTTATTGGTTACAGCACAAAGCAATGGGACATTTTTAAAGCTGCTTTTGTTTTACTAAACATAAATCTTTGACAATTTTCTACGTTAATAAATGAAGGACTGGAAAGATAGCTCAGTAGATAAAGGCTCTTGCTAAACACATTGACTGACTGAGTTCCGTCCCCAAGTCTCACAGGGAGGAAAGAGAACCAACTCCCCAATTGTCCTCTGGCCTCCATGTGAACACCATGGGCATTCTCTCTCTCTCACACTGATTTTTTTTGAAGACAAGGTTTCTTTTTTCTTTCTTTCTTTCTTTCTTTCTTTCTTTCTTTCTTTCTTTCTTTCTTTCTTTTTTTGGTTTTTCAAGACAGGGTTTCTCTGTGTAGCCCTGGCTGTCCTGGAACTCACTCTGTAGACCAGGCTGGCCTCAAACTCAGAAATCCACCTGCCTCTGCCTCCCAAGTGCAAAGACAAGGTTTCTTTGTGTATTCCTGGCTGTACTGGAACTCTGTAGACCAGACTGACCTCAAACCCAGGCCTCTGCCTCCCAAGTGCTGGGACTGAAGATGTGTGTCACCAACACCCAGCTCATAATTTAAAAATTAAAAATGGACACACACCGTCATAATATTGGTTATATGACTTCTACTGCACAGATATGTTAGTTACTGTGCCATCAATTCCAACAGACACTGAGGCATTTTCTAACACTGCAAGTTATTCCGCACCAAATACCCTGTAACTTCTGAATAGCTGTGAGATTGTTTCCCTGGGGCAATGTCATTGAAGAGAACAGTTTCTTTCCGATGGAAGCTTTGGAAAATGGAGGCAGGTC